CATGGAGACACTGTTACACACACACACACACACACACACACACACACACACACACACAGTTTTTATGTCGTTGTGTTCAATAGAGGGCACCACAGCACAGTTCATGAATGCCTTCCATGAAGATTTGTGGGCTTTATTTTTTCTCATGGTAAGAGGAAAACAGGCTGAATTAAAATTTTTTCCCCCTACATTAAACTGCTAACCTTCCAGGGGCGATACGAATGCGTAGGTATGCCATTGTGCTGGGCACAGCAGAGCCAGGGCGCCCTTAGGTGGATACAGTGTTTTTGCATAGCTATATATTGTTCTCAACTGAACCAATACATAATACACCTAATAAAATCACGTCGAGGAAAACCAGATTTTTCGACTGTATCCAATTCAAGGGAAAAACAGGTTTTGCTTTGTGTAGTTTAACGTTCTTATGGGGAAAGGAATAACTTTTGACTCCTGTGGTAAATAGCTTTTCACAAATTCCTGTAACATTCTAGAGGCCGTTTTTTGTTCCTTTTGTAAAGGCTTGAACATTGTATACACTTATTTTTATGGAGGCTTATAACGATGACATTTTATTGACTGTTTTACAAAGTACTCTTTGTATTAAGTTTGAAGTTGATTTACTGCGATTTGATTTGTTTGTGGAAAATGCGGCGCAAATATGACTAAGGTAAAAATAGGATTTAATATTGTGGTGATGGCAGTCACAACGCTCGCTGATATGTATTAAGCAAGATATAATGTTAAATGAACTAGTCATGCTCACCGAACGGGGGTGGGGTGGGAACGCTCTCAACTGTTTGTATTTTTAATTTTGGAAGGAAATATCTGACTAAAGATAAAAATCATAAATATATTAAAAATTTTTTTGCATGTTTAAAACTCATACCCGTGGAGCACAGTGGCATACATGTAGCCAGCCAGGCCAAGGGAATTAAAAAGCCCAGATGTGGTAGCAGATGTACTGATTTTGGGGTTCCCTCCCCAGCCACACGGTTCTCTCACTTCAGAATTGAGAGCTGGGTGTGCCCGGCTCACTCTCGCTGTTCACCGGCGTGTCCTCCAGGTGGCAGTATTCAGCAGAAAACACTGAGAAATAATGAGTCTAATGTACAGTAAAATTGGAAATTGAATTATAGCTCAGGAAAAAAGACAGTAGCCTTGAGGTCCCGACGAACCTGGGCTCTGATCATTTTGGTTTGCTGTACCCATGTGTTAGGTTACCAGCAAGTTAATAACCGTGCCTGAGCAGTTCAAGGCTCAGTAGAATTGCTTTAGACGTGAAATAAAGCTAAAATGAATTTGTGTCCAATATCATTGGCATTAGTGCTCATTACTTTTGTGGTGTAATGCCTTGAACCATCTAAAATCAATTTTAAAGATTACCTATTATTTTATAAAGAAAATAAAACACATTTCCACCAGAAACAAAGCAGTAAGTATAATCCTATGAACCAGTTACTTGCACCACGGCTGGCAGGAAACACTCCGTTCAAACTTCTCAGTGAATTCAAGTTCCTGTGAGTGGGTCATGGCCACAGACACCTCCTCTGGAACTGAAGTGTTTAAAACAAGAGCGGCAAACATTGTAAATGTGGAAAATCTCAATAGTAAGAGGAGTTTGCCACGTTCCAGTGTGTACTTGGTAAATGAGTCTTCATCATGTGATGTGGAGGGAGAGGAAGTGTGAGCTGCGTGGCCTGAGATTTTGCCTTTTAAAAAAACGCAGCGGTTTTACGTTTTCTTCCCGTCCGTCAGTAAAGAGTATTTTTAAAAACTACAATTGTAAGCCTAGGGCAGTGGTCGGCAAACTCATTAGTCAACAGAGCCAAATATCAACAGTACAACGATTGAAATTTCTTTTGAGAGCCAAATTTTTGAACTTAAACTATATAGGTAGGTACATTGTTATTAACTTAATTAGGGTACTCCTAAGGCTTAGGACAGTGATGGCGAACCTTTTGAGCTCGGCGTGTCAGCATTTTGAAAAACCCTAACTTAACTCGGGTGCCGTGTCACATATAGAAATTTGTTGATATTTGCAACCATAGTAAAACAAAGACTTATATTTTTGGTATTTATTTTATATATTTAAATGCCATTTAACAAAGAAAAATCAACCAAAAAAATGAGTTCGCGTGTCATAGGTTCGCCATCACTGGCTTAGGAAGAGCCACACTCAAGGGGCCAAAGAGCCGCATGTGGCTTGTGAGCCGCAGTTTGCCAACCACAGGCCTAGGGGATGCCTACCTTGTGGTATGGATACTGCGCTTTTTTAGACGTTTGCTTTCTTGAAAAAAGAATTCTGTTTCATTTTGAAGGAAAGGAAATATTCTAATGTTCTTGGACTTTAAATGTGAATGACCAAGAGAGATGTACTTTTTCTAGTAGCTTGTTAAAAAATGCATGCATGAAAAATCCCATGTTGGGCAAAATTATACTTAGGGTTTCGTATTTTAGTTTCGCCTCCGACAACTGGTGTTAGTATCCCATCATTATATCATTATTGAACTATGAACAGAGACAAAATTATCATACATAAAAGTCTTGGCTAAAAAGTTAAAAGCAGTTTTTATTTAAATGTGAGGGTGTCCTTTGGCAGAGAAAACACGTTCACTGATAATGTGAACCTGAGCATGTGTAGATTCGGCTACAGGCTGGTTTTTGCTCCTCCCTGCCGTTCTGAGGGACTAGTTGAAATCTGTACTCTCTTTGTTCCACTGAAGATTTTGGAGAAATTTCTGGTTAGTTTTAGGTATTCAAAAAAAGCCAGCTCTCAGCTGAGCCCTTGTAAACTTGTACAGAAGCAAAGCTGTGAAGTTTTTCCAACAAAGAGATGACTTTTTAATAGAACTTTTAATAGTAGTTGAAAGTTTTGATGTGTCCGGACAGCCTAGCCCATAAAGATCACAGAATGGACATGCTGGTTGGCAGTAAAAAAAAAATTTTTTTTTCAAGTGGAATACATTTCTATGACTCCATAAGCAAAATATTTCCGTAATTAATCCACATGGCCGTAACAGATGGTTACATGGAAGAAATGTCCTTGAAGTTATTCTTTTAACAGATGTTCTTAACCATCAGCTTCATGTTTTTACTCACCTAAATTTCCAAATAATTGAATAGAAGTTAACATATGCTTCCGTCCCTTTTAATAGGCAGAGAGCATCATGGATGCAAAGTTTGCCACCGTCGAGAGATGACTTCAGTGGCCCATTTTGGATGTTTCTCTCTCTCCTGCCCTATAGGTGTTCATCCCCGTTCACTGACGCTGTCTCCTGTTTTCTCTTACACAGGGTCCTACACAACGCGCTCCTGCTTTCAGACAGCAGCCTGCATCTCTTCTTGCAAAGCCATCTGAACTCAGAAGACATTGAGGCGTGCGTTTCTGGGCAGACTAAGTACTCGGTAGAGGAAGCAATTCACAAGTTCGCTTTGATGAACAGACGCTTCCCCGAAGAAGATGAAGCCGGAGAACAAGAAAACAATATAGATTATGGTTCAGAAAGGTATTTCCTTGCATTTCCACGTAACACGTACGTATTTATATAACACGTAGCACACACATGCCTGTGTAGGGATCTCGACACACACTTCCCTTTTTTTGTTGATGTAATCCTAAGATAATGAAAAAATTAATTGACTGAGATTTTATTGAGTTGTGACAGCTCATCATAGTAGTCTTCACACACACCTCCACACTGAATTAATGAATGCAGTAGAAATTCAATTATCTGCATTCTGATTATGTGACTTTCATTTAGTCAGACTTGAATTATTCGCGTTTAAATTATCTAGCTAAAAAAATATCCAACTGCACTCCAAATGGCTAATTAAAAGTCCAAATTTCCTGTCTCTCTTTGTGACTGGAGATAATTAAAGTTCTCCTCTGTTACTCAGGCTTTGAGTGTGTTGTGAAAACCAATTTCCTCTTTTTATTATTTTCCCCCTCTTCTTTTCCAGTTCATCCTCCGGGTTTGGCCACAGTAGTGATGACAGCAGTTCACATGGGTGTAACATGAGCACAGCTCCGCAGGAATCCTGAAAAAGAATTCTAACGTGACCATCTTAGGAACAGCAAATTACGTCCAGTCATAGAGGAGAAAGCCCGCTAATGATACATTTTTACCTAAAGCTCACTGTCATGATAGCAGGCACTTAAATTCTTCAAGACGTTGGGTGGTTTATTCATGCTGTTTTCATGTTGTCTTATTTTGGCTGAGCTTCCATAAAAAGCTAAAGGCCTGTGATTGCAACTCTCTCCTATACAGGCCAACATTATTGGTAAAACAAGATCCTGCTCTCAAATGACATGGTGTATGTGTTTAAAAAACCAACAACCTGGTTGCTTTTACTGAATTTGAAAATATAGGTAAATAGTTAGCATTTGAAATCCAGACAGTGGATTCCTTTTTGAATCAACGGGGCAGTGTTACCGTAAACACAGCATGTATGAGCCTAACCACCCTGAAGACTGACAACCTAGACCAGCCGGCCTCGCTCAGACATGGGGCTGATATTCTGTGGGTACCTCCCCCGCACCGGGAAGACACTTTGCTTTTGGGTGTTTGGACTCTTTGAAGAGAGTTTAACCTTGCCAGTATTCTGTTTCACACTTAGATGGGAAAAGTATCTCGGGAACAGAGACATGCTAAAATAATGTTTACATCCCAGACAAAACAGAAACCGTGCCAGTGACTTTGCTTAGACTTGCAATATGTAGATTAAGAAATAACAGTCTCATTGTCCAAAAATCAGCTTTAACACATGGTTTCTGGAGACAAATCATTTGTTTTCATTATCTTTGTGTAATTGGAATTACAGGTTAATGATTTATTTTCTGACTAAATGTGCAGTTTCCTATCCCTAGATAACTTTGTCAGTGGTGGTGACTTGTTACTGATCTTTAAGTTAGAAGTAGGTTCTTATAAAAATAAATTTAGTGTTATCAGTAAGTATTCCCATAATTTATAAAAGGATATAAAAATTAATTATTCATTAAAAAAAAAGCCCTTTCTTTTTAGGTAGCTTCCAGAGGATTGGTGTAACTTAAAATAATTCAATACAGTCTTTTTTTTTTTTTTTAAATGGCCCAAAGAGAAAACGTCTTAAACTACATTGAACTTCAAATTTCAGATGAGACAGCACTTTCTTGAGACAATTACCCAAGCTTCTTCCCTGTCGAATGGTACAAAATATCCCTGAAACTAACAGGAAGGTATTTTCACATACCTGGGGTAACTTGTTGCTTTAATTAAATGTTACCTCACCTCATCTCCACTAGGAGTTTAAAAGTTACTGTATTATTAAAAAGTCTTTGAAATGCTTGTAACTAAGAAGCAATAGAAAAAAAATTAAATTTAGAATAAGAATGATTCCATACTTTCTCCTTTTTGTTTTTGTTTGGTCTAAAACATTATTGAACTTATGTAAATATTCTGATTTAATGTATTGGGTCTTATTACTTTATCACCTAGGACTCATTATTTTAATACAGAAAAAAAGAGGCTGAGCAATTTCTTTTTATCTGGCCAACACGTAAAGTTTACCATCCTATCATTTAAGAGCGGATCCCAGCTCCTCGGCGACATGTATTTGAATCACATTATTTCTGTTTTTCAGCAGTTTTGAAAAGGATGTATATATGCTACCAGTTGTCATATTATTTTTAGGTGATGTAAACAGCCATCAAAATGGATATTAAGTAATGCCTGATACTGTGGTATGCAAACTTCACAAGATCACCGTTTTCACAATAAACATGAAAAAAAAAATCAACTTTAGTGTGTTGGATCACTTGTTTCATACGAGAATGTATTTCTTCTGACTTAGACCTAAATTCAGTGTGTTTTTGAATGATTGGTACATTTTTAATGAAGAAGTTGGGTAAAATTTGCTTTAATATTCACTCTAGTTGTACACATTTGAGCTTTGGTTTGGTTGTTTTGATATCTAAGGACCATTAACGCTGATACTCAGCAGCTGAAATATTTAGATAAACTTCAGCTCCCAATGGCTTTCTGGCTTTGTTCGAGTCTCTTATTTTCATCTGGCATATTTTTATAAAGCTTTATTTAGGAAAAGAAAATGATTACTTAAGTAACTAAACTAAATAGAATAGATGTTTATTTAAAACTATTTTTAATGTAACTTAAATTTAAAAAATTCTAATCCCGGGTGATTTATGATTTATATACATTAAAACTGTATTTCCCTGGCTCATTGTGAAAGTGTAAACTGTTTACCTATAAAGTCGGTTTATGTGTTTTGTTTGGGAACTGCTTTTATACATAACCCAAAGGGGTCAACAATGAAAGCCAACACCTGTTACTTATAGCTTCTTTTAAAGTCTCACTTGGAAGAAAGTGATTTAAATTCCAGTTCAAATTTCAAGTTTTAAAAATTACTGAGGAAAAACAGAGATGTTTAAGTAGTGACGTCCCGTATGATATTAAATATCATGCAGGAGCTTTTCAAGCCTAGTTCACATTTTATTGAATAATTAAATACAAACAAGTGATATGCAATAACCTTAAAATCTCTTTTATGGCCATTAAGAATTTAAACAAATTCATTTAGCCTAGCCACAATTACCATTATATCCAACAGTAAATTGAATGTTGTTTTGAACTCAATTTATGTTTTATTTTTTGGTGCCTTAAGGATTCATCATTATTGAGCTACTGTGGTATGTACAAGGGGTTCAGTATTTCAGCTATAAAGGAACAATGCCTTTCACAAAAGGCCTCTAAAATCTGAAGACAAAAATAACAAAAGCTTATTCTGTTTCAAAACAGTTTTCCTCTCAATATTTAAATTACTTAGTTGGTATCTTATGAATACAATGCTGCATCTTTTTAATGGAGGAAACAATCTCAATACAGTTTTCTGCTTTTGTTTGGAATACAGACGTTTTGTTACTTGATTACATATAAACACATTTTCAATGACAAAATGCTTTCTGAAATTAGTTATTGCAATTTGACACCCAAAGCATAGATACAATTTTCCTTGCAAATAAAGGTCATAAGAAATGAACACATTTTAATAGAGTGGAGTCCAAAAATTTTAGGATGTAAATAAGCAAAAATTTCTTTAACGTTTGAAATATTGACAAAGGATTTTGGCTCTATTCTTTGCCATATGCATCTCACAAAACGAGTCACCATTGTCCCTTTAGGTCGGACACAATTGCCCTTCAGTCTGGCTGGAAACTCTAGATCCTTGTTAGGAACAGTGCATTGGCCACTCATTTATTTCAGCTGCGAAAACTCTAGGGTCGTTAAATGACGCTTTTCTTTTTCTCCGAAATTCCAAAGACTTCTTTCCAAAAGATATAGAGGAAAAGAGAGAGAGAGAAAAAAATTAAGCTACAGTTTCTGCTGACTCCAAAGACACTATGCGAATGACTTATGCTAAAGAGGAAAATACCCTTTCTCCCCGACGAGAAGCGTGGATGCCTCCAAACCCCACGCCGCTTGTCTTTGCTGCTCGCGGCACAGCGCGGGCATGACTGGTGGTGGTGTTTTTGCTCGTTTCTTACCTCGGGGCTTCTTTATAGCTTTGCCCCCGCCCCACTG